AGTCACCACCCTTAGATTGTTGCACCCCTTTAGCACCTGACGTAAAAGCATCAGTTACTTGTGTACGAGCAGCAGCAGATTTCACTGTAGACGTGAGTACCTGCATAGAAGCTTCAACTGTCTCAGTTCCCTTCTTCATTGCACCTGTTATCTGCTGGTTATTAGTCGTCTCATGTCCACAATTAATGAGCCCAGCACCTTCCTTAAAACCTGTTGCAGCTGCACTTCCCAAAACAACATCTTCAAGTTCCTGCTCCTCATTTTGCACTGCAGTAGCTATTAACTCAGCTGGTTTTTCAGTTAGATCAACTTGTGCAGCATTAGCTTTAATAACCCCAGCAGTACATCGATTACCAGTAGCATTCAATGCAACTTTAGCCTCCAATTGTGAACCTACAGAAACTGGTTGTTTTACAGCATTGTCAACTTGTCCTACTACTGTTGCTGCTGCATTATTCTTGGCAAAAATTGCTCGAACAGCTGCAGCTAAAGCACTGTCATCCATCAGACCATGTTCAAAAGCTGAACCCTTAGAACTTCCAGCTAAATCTCGATCAACCACAGTATTTTTTGCAGCTTTCAAGTCCTGAGCAACTCTAGTAAGGGCTTCAGCAACTGGGACAATTGCACTAGAAACAGGATTAAGCCCTGCATCATCAGAATCAACATTATCTCGATGTGTTGCTGCTATATGCCCTGCTGCATTAATTGCTTCTTTTGCATATTCATGAGCCTTTTGATGTGTTCTGTCTTTTCCCACATCAACCAAGCTCCCTGACGATTTAGATAGCTGTAATGCATTTAAGAAATCCTTGGCATCCCCTTTCAATTTTTCAACCTTGCTCATCTCCTCAGCCAAGGCCAAAACTTCAGCAGACATTATACGTTCAGTAGCAATAGTCGTCTCAATCAAGTTTTCTTCCTGTTGCATATCATAATTCGACCTATTCCTTGTCATCAATGAACGACAATCTTCACCAACATGTCCTTGTCGTTTGCACACATTACAATATGATGGAAGATTGTCAAACACAAACTCCTGTAAATGCTCAATAACCTTACCAGATTTCTCATCAATGAATTGTAACATAATATTCTTGGGATGCTTATCAAAGAGATCAATAATTACCTTGACCCTCGCTATGCTAGGTCTTGTCCTAGTTTGTGTGGCTTTATCTATAGCAATAGGTTTTTCCACGGCTGATGCAATTGATAGTAAAAACTTCTTTGCAAAAAGGTTCGTCGGCAAATCTGGAAACGACACCCATGCCACTGTTTTGATGTCTCCGCCTTAGGATCGTAATCTTGAGTCCATGGGAATGTACGATATTGATGTTGTTGACCTTTGTATTGTAGATAACCAACCTATTTTGAGACAATCGCTACAAAATCCTCATAAGCATCACATCGAATCAACAGTTTCCTAACTGCGAGCAAGCCAATCAAGCATCGACCCTTAATCCCAATTTGTGCTGGAATTATTTTACGAAGTTCCAATAATTCTGGTGCACCATATGACAGCTTCATCACCACAGCTTGGTTGAGACCTTCTTCGACTGCATATTCCTCCAATTCCTTAACAGAAAATTGTATCATAAGTTGTCCATGAACATTTTGGACAGGTTTAAGGATCGTTTTAGTTACTGCTTGCAATTTTGCCGAGAATAGTGAAGCATAAGAATTTGTTTTAGAGCTGGGATCCATCTCTCCCACAGCATGAAGCTGGGGAGAGGCCTGCACATCCATGACTGAAGCTAACTCACCATTTCTGTACAAGAAAATAGAAGAAGCAGCGCTGAAATTCTGGAAAAACTTGGCGCTACAGTGACTCTCGATCTAAAATCAAGATTTGTTACAGATGGCTATGGATTTGAGGATGAAACCAACTGGGGATTGTTCGCAAAGAGAAGGGGGTTCTTTTGAGACCAATCTTGCGAACTTACCTTGCCGGACACCGGAGTTATGGGCCGTGAATAGTGACAGCGGTACTATTCACAGAAAATCCTAGAGAGATGTTAGTGTCCCCCAATTATAGTGGACTTTTCTTACCTCACTAGTTGTACCTTCCCAACCTTCCTTTTTTTTTAGCAACACATTTGAGTAGCGGTAGGAACAAAATAAAAATATCGGGAAAGCATGCTAACGAAACGTTTTGATTGATTTTTCAAATAAAATACGGAAAAGGTCCAAATACCTCTTGAACTTTACGATAAGGTCTACAAATAACCCTAGTTAAAAGTTTGGCCCATTACCCACATTGTTATTACACTCTTGGCTCGGATACCCTTTTAATTCTAAACGGCTGTCACATTGGATAAGTTATCCACTCATAATTTGACATGTGGAATTTTAATTTACACCCAAATATTATAATTCACACCCAACCGGATCTAATTAACCTACTCATTACCCGTGACCCGACCCGTAAATTGGAAACCCCTTTCTTAAAAACACCCAAATTTTACTTCACTTATCAACTAGGGATAGCTCGAGTAATACAGTTGTAGTCTAGGAGGTAGTTGAGTCTTACGTTACTTTGTGTCATTGTGAGCCTAGTCCGGTAGGGTTTTGACTAAGATAGCTAGGGGTAATGTCGTTTCTTACTATTTTCTATTTTCGACGCAGGTTCCACTTACTAGTCATCGTTTTTGCTTTGCATTTTTTTTCTATATTTTATGTTCCTATTTTTCCTATGATCTCCGTGATGAATCTAATATTCTCTTCTTTTGTTTTTTATTATCTTGAGCCGAGTGTCTTTTGGAAACAACCTCTCAACCCCTTCGAGGTAGGGGTAAGGTCTACGTACACACTACCCTCCCCAGACCCCACTTGTAGGATTCTACTGGGCTGTTGTTATTGTTGTTGTTATTGTTGTTGTTGTTGTTGTTGTTGTTGTTGTTGTTGTTGTTGTTGTTGTTATCAACTAGGGATAACTCTTCGTTGATAAGTGAAGTAAAATTCGGGTGTTTTTAAGAAAGGAGTTTTTAATTTACGGGTCGGGTCACGAGTAATGGGTAGGTTAATTAGATCCGGTTGGGTGTGAATTAAAATATTTGGGTGTAAATTAAAATTCCACATGTCAAATTATGAGTGGATAACTTATTTACTGTGGCAGCCGTTTAGAATTAAGGGGGTATCCGAGCCAAGAGTATAACGGCAAGGTGGTTAATGGGCTAAACTTTTAACAAGGGTTATTTGTAGACCTTATCGTAAAGTTCATGGGGTATTTGGACCTTTTCCGAATAAAATAAGTTATCTGTTATCTCTAAATTGTATAGTTAATATGGCAGTTATGCTTTATGCACAAGAACGCTTATGCTCAAGCTTGTTGTTTGACAAATAAAAGTACTGTATTATCATATCTAATCCATGTTTACTAATCTTAATTTTTTACTCCATTTTGCTAAGAAACTAATGAAGTTCCTTACATATAGAGAGAAAATTTAACAAAATGACAAATTATTTTATTACTTCAAAATAATGTTTATACATGTTTATCCAAATTAAACATACAAAATATATTGAAAAATATGAAGAATTAACTTGTCCAACTGAAAATTTCGTTGTTCCTTCCTAAAATGCATGTTAGGAAATTACATTTATTTTTAGTTTGCGCAGTTTAATTGGAACTTTACTTTACAAAATTCACATCACAAGAACTTTTTTAAACACTAATAAATCTTCAATAACCGAATAAACATTGCCTAACCTTTTTTTTGAGAAAGAACAAGTTCAAGTAAATTATTAGCATGTTTGGCCAAGCTTCTAAAATCAGTTATTTTGAGAAGTGTATTTTTTCTCAAAAGTACTTTTCAAAAAGTATTTTTGGTGATAAGCAGTTTGTGTTTTACTAATTAATTTGAAAAATACTTTTGAACAGTAATTAGTGTTAGGCCAAGCTTTTAAAAACTGCTTCTACGTATATTTTTCTCAAAAGTGATTTTCCGAAAAAGTGATTTTGGAGAGAAGCTACTTTTTTCTGTTTGTGGTTTTTCTCAAAAAACACTTTTTCCCTTTTAAAAGCTTGGCCAAACACTTCATTTTTTGGGAAAAAATACTTTTAGCAAAAAAAATACTTTTGACCCAAAAAATAAGCTTGGCCAAACAAGCTATATATCTGTTCAAAAAGAATTTTTCACAGAATAATTAACGAAATTATTTTTTAATATTTAATCAGCCCCAAATTCAAAAATTGGGTTGCCCAATAAATATTAAGCAAGCAAGAGCAACCAAAAAGAGTCAAACAAAAACCTGTGAAGCTTGGAAGGCGGCAACATGGAGAGTCGACTTTCATCAAATGGGGCCCACCATTGTAGAGAATAACACGTATGTCCAAGGGTAAGAAAGATGGACCGGAAATTCCCAAGATACCCCTGATGACCCCAAGCTCCTCACTTCGTGGCTTCTATAATAGTAGTGATACTTCAACAACGTATATGTAATATATATATATATATATATATATATCAAACATATTAAAATTTTAATTCTTTCTATGTACATCAAGAGAGTAGGTTATGTTTAAATTAAAAATTTGGAATTGCATAAAATTAGGGGTGATTTGCACAAATAGGACATTTCGGTACCATTCTTGATTTTTTGACATAGAACTTTAAGTTTAACAAGTGTTGCCCTTAGTCCCTACCTTGCCCATAGACAACACTTTTGACTTTTGACCTTAAATGTATGTTCATTCATAAAGTGGGGGCATAAAAATCAAGACCAAAGTAATTGGGTGTAATTTCCTAAATTAGGTTACAGGAGTCCTAGTTCAGCCTGGGTCAAGATTCCTAACTTGACCAAAAAAGGGACAAGTTACATATTTGGCCGATCAATTAAAAATAATTATATTTGCTAATGCACCGATTATTATTTTTGGGAGTAACTATAATATGACACTAGTTTTCCCAAAAAGGGTAACAAGATTTTTTTTGTTTCTTTCAATCCACAGAAGTTCTAAATTCTAACCCATTAATAATTGCAGCCCAATCCACAGCTTTTCTTTAAAAAAAAAAAGAGCACAGCATAGGGCAAAGGCAAGTGTCTCAAACTCGGAAAACCTCAGCTCAGCCCATTGCTGGAAAAAAACCCCAGAGGAGCGGACTTCAGAGAGAGCATTCCGCACAGTAAGTTCTCAACTTTGATCTTCAACAAATTCTTGCTCGTATCATTGCCATTCCTTTTGTAGTACGAGAGCTTGAAAAATCTCTTTTTTCTTTTCTTAGTCCATTTCCAAAGTTCAATTGCATCTACTGATAATAATCTGTGTCTATGTCTATTTGTGCATCTTGTAATAGAATTTCTGTTTATGGTATTGGCAGGGGCGGATTTAGGGGGGGGCGAACACCCTTCGCCGAAAAATTACACTGTATATATAAGGCAAAATCTATTTTTTATCTCTATATATTAAGTTTTGAACACCCTTAACATAATCCAAAAGTGTAGTTTAGTGGTCAAGAGGGTTCAAAATTACATAAGGTCTCATGGGTTCAATTCCCACTAGCTACAAAAAAAAAAATTTTGAACCCCCTTCGCGGAGATCCTGACTCCGCCACTGGGTATTGGGTATCTCTAAAATGGCTTATTTTGACAATTTTTGAACTGTAATTAGAATGGAAACCTATAATTCGTTAATGGATTTGTTCACCCTAAAAAACGGATAACAATTAAATTTATTAGTAGTTTTAAGGATACGCAGATTAATTCGATACAAACGATAAATTGCGTTAGATTAAACAGATAAAGGAGGTACTAAATTATCAAACTACTTGAGGAGGGTGATTCCGGACTTAGCAATAGCCTTAATGAAATATCCGCCCTCACAATGACCAAGCACTGATGAACAAGAATAAGAACTTTGAATAACATATAAAATAATAGTATGTTGCCTTGGTATACGTGTTACAATGTCCTCCATGAATAATCAGACTCCCCTATATATAGTAGAGGAGTTTTACCCAAAGTATCAATTCTATAAAAGGTAAAAATCTTTTGTTTAACTAATCACCGGTTCTCTGTCAATACGTGCCGAGATTCACGCCGTGATATCCGGGCGGTTGCGGATATCACGGCTTGCTGTTGGTCGTGCTCGATCGTCTGGTAATGCTCTCCAAGGCCTTTGGGGTTCGAACCGGACGGGGGGCTATGGCCCCGATATCCCCAAGGGTAAGCATTTCACCCGGACCCTGGATCGAGGGGCTCCTTGCCTCGATTCCGGTTCCTTACCTTCACGTTTCTTGCTCTGTTTACTTCATCGGAAACCGAGGCATACCGTGAGCTTGGTTTTACCCGTGTACAGGGTTCCGTGCTGAATTTGATTTTCAGCTGCTTTCTAGATTTCATGTAAACGATGAACTATTTTACAAGAATAGAAAAAGTTCCTTTTGGGTAGAAAAAAGGCCCAACCCTACATTAGAGTCTTCAACTCACCTATACAGGATATGTGGAAGCAGGGAAAGTAAGAGAAGAGTTAATGAAGAATCTAAGGTTCTAAGGTAAGGAAATCAATAAGTTTATCATCTTCAAAAGTTGATTTTGGTTACGATTGGAAGTTGTTATTGATGTTTTTGAGTTGATGCTATTGTTTGGGTATGTACTCGTGTTGGACAGTAGTAATTTCGACGTGAGCTTACTTTCTGATTTACTTAGACAAGGTCTAACTGAACCAGAAAAAATAAAAGTGAGCTGGAGGAAAGGGACACCTAGATTGAGTGGGAATATTGGTTTAAAGTGATATTGGTTTGAAATAGTGGGAATATTGGTTTGAAATGAGCACATAGCAGAGCTTGACATTGTTCTACTTATAGCAAACTGTTTCTTCGAGATTATTGTTACATCTTCATTGAGTAATGTTAAGTTTTTTTTTCTTATGCGGTAATAGAGGAAAGAACATCTTATAGTTGTTTGCATTATTTAGATGCATTAAACTTGTGTCAAGCGATAACTTACTAGCCAACCATTTTTGTATTGAGAGAAACTTATGCACACTTTCGAGAGAACTTCTTTTCTCCATTCTCTATTTGGTTAGTCGGTGTCCTCATGGGGGTTTTGGGGGGGCGGGGGGCGCTAGGAGTTGCTGAAGCTAAGGTAGGACTTCCTCACTCATAAGGTTCATACTTTTACTTTCCTGAAAGGCCCCAGTTTTGTTGAGTCTCAAGTGGTTACAAAGTTTGAACTCATTCAATTGACCTTGAAAGAGTGCCAACATATATGCTCATGTAGAGATAGATGGTATGCATAAATTTCTCAATATTGACTATTCTCTTTGCTGTTAGGGAAGCAATTTATTTGATTTGACTAGAGTAGATAGTCAGCATTTTTGAACTGTCATAGAAATGCCACAATAACTACTCTTCTCACAATAATATAAAGGACCGGAGTAAAAGCGTTTTGGGAAATGTGAGAAATCATCATTTGATGTGTCATGAAGTAAAGCTGAGATGGGTATTATCTTAGTGGATGAGAGGCAACTAAAAGTGAAATCTGTGTCTGTACTTGAGAAAATGATGTTTACAACGACTTGTTCTTGAACATTTTTTAGTCAGATGAGAAAACTATTTATTACTAAGTCTATATTGTTTTTAAAAAACTTAAACACTCACTGTGTAAATCTCAAATAAAGAGGAGCAGAATTAAGTTTGTTATTGCCCTTCCGTGAGGCATTTAAATCTGAGATGGGGGAGTATAAAACATTGGCTTTTTTCAGAGTCGAAGTTCGAAAACCACCTTCACATATCTTAAATAAATGATATAAGAGTTAAAGTAATGCATCAGCATTTCTGAATAAAGAACCAATGCAGGATGAGAAAATATTATTCTCATAGAGATTAAAAAATTCGACAAATCCCAATGGTTTACACTTGATTATCCCATCATTGGTTCATAGCTCCAAAAGGCTCAGTGTTGGTGCATTATTTTATGCTTTCACATCTTTTATCTTGCCTTTGAATTTTCAAGTATGTGGTGATTATTATAAAATCTGGGTTTCAAAGTCAAATATTCTAGTTCAAGGGTCTCAAAGGTGCTCGTTTAGAATCCAGTTTTACGTCTCTCCACTTGGAACTTGCTGCATTTTTTTTACAGATTCGTCCAAGTTATTTAACTATTTTGAGTTAGTCTACAATAGTCTAGATTTGGCTCGACTGGTTCATGTTTAAGAACTAGCAGCGGTTTTTCAAACCATGAATGCAGATTTCCTCTCATCTACTGCTGTAAGCATCCCTTCTACTTCTATCCAAAACACACAAAAAAACATTGAGTTCTCTTGTTTCCACAGTTTTCTTCTTTATTTGTTGTACATTGTTCAGGAAAGAGTAGTTTTGACTCTTTGAGTTGTCCAGTTCCCTGTTTCCTTTCACAATGAGTGTGTTGAGTTGTGTGAATCACCTCATATAAAAGACCAGCTAGTAAAGAATGGATACTTAATTTTAATATGTCTGCAATATGTTCCTCACGGACGGACTTGATTTTTTTCTTGGGTCAAGTATGTGCAATAATTTTGGGTAGTGGTGACACTCGAATCCAGCAGTTCTGCTTGCTCTGATGACATGTTGAACAGTGTGAATTGCCCAATCTAAAAGTTTTAAGTTGTTAGGGAGAGGATTCTTTTGATTACTATCTGTTTCCAATCATGGGGTGACCTCTTAGGGCTACTATACGGAAGGTCTTTTCAGAGGGGCAGAATTTCACCTAAGTACCATGCAATTCACATACTTCAATCTCCAAGCTATGAGTTTACTTGTGTTGATTGTGATGCAGTTTTCTCCCAATACGGAGAATTTTATTTCTCTGAGTGCCTCACTCTTTTTATAATATGCTGATTGTAAATTATATTACCAGTTTTTTTTCCTTTTCGTTTTCAGAATCATGCAATCTGATACATTTCCAATTTCCAGCTAACCTGCATCTTCCTGCTAAGATGCTCGTCGTCTTTTTTCTTTTAGGAACTCATCCCTGCAAATCTTACTCTTTTTAATTGACGTGCTTCTTTTGAATGAGAAGTTTCTTGTCTGTTCTGCTACAGGAAAGCAAGCGGTAAAGCAGGAAGAGATGAGTGCTTACAATGCTTTTAAAGCTTGTGCTCCAATCTCATGGAGCCCTAATCTATACATAACCCTTGTAAGGGGTATTCCAGGCACTAGGAGGCTCCATAGGCGTACCCTAGAAGCATTGCGTCTGCGGAAATGCAATCGGACTGTAATGCGGTGGAACACGCCTACTGTTAGGGGAATGCTTCAGCAGGTTTTGATAGTGTTTTGCTATCAATATGGACTAGTTTAATGATTTCTCTTGCCTTCAAATATCTAGTCTGGTACACACAACTTTCGTAGTTACCATGTGAAGATTTATATATTTGTATCTCTCCTTTTGATCTTAGGTGAAAAGGTTGGTTGTCATTGAGACAGAAGAGATGTACAAGGCACGTAAGGAGAAACTTTCTGATCACAAAGCTCTACGTCCTCCGTTGGTTGTAAACCATCATGCAGCCCCTGCAGCTGATTCAGTTCAGTAATTGTTGAAACTCTTTCCTGGTCAGTTTTAGTCAACTAAGATGATGTAGTGCACCCAAGTAATATGTTAGGAAATAGCATTTCACCTTTGTATACAGGATGTGATACAGTATTTGTGTGGTGGTTATTACTGTTTCGGCTATAACAGAATGCATGATGTCTCCGGAGTCTGAGCAATCTGCGGAATTGGTTTGGTTGTTACTGTCAAATGCAGAACTTTAAGAAAGATACTGGCTCTAGCCCGTTGATATGGGATCATGTAGCTTGCCTTATGTCTTGTTAGTTATAACAAAGTAAATCTATGATAGTGGATTTACTTTGTGTTTATGTCAACTTAGGAGCAACCTAAGATTTTTGGGGTTTCTGCGAGAATGCTAGCTTGATTTCTCTGCTTTCTTCCGCCATTTCCTTCCTTTTATCTTCTTCTTCCTCGTCTTCTCTTTTTACTTTGCTGCTATTTTAAACTGGTTGTCAGCGCGATTTCTTTGTCTTGGTTACAAAATTTGAGAGCTAATATTTGAAGTCTAATAAGCATTCTAGTTCTCATTTACAAAGCTTTGAGTGATGTATTCCTTCACAGTGATTTGGTTATTGCATCTTTTTGCTCTTCTATTTCCTTTTGTTCCTTTTGAAGTGGCTTGCATTTTACAGCTTGTTTGGATGGTTGTTACCATTGTGTCGTATCGTATTGTTACTTTAAATACAATGTTTGTTTTGATTGTTACTTAAATTTTATTGTATCGTATCGTTAAATCCGTCGTTACATAACGACGAAACGTGCCACTTTATGTAACGACTGATTTGGTGTGGTCACGTCGTTACCTTGTCTTTTTCTCTCAATCTCACCCTTTATTATTATTAAATTATTTTATTTTATCATTTACCCTACTTTTTTATATAGTAATTTTACCTTGTATCATAACTTTTCTTTATAATATTGTAAGTTTATTATTCATATTGCTGGTGCGTGATATCATAAAACGATGGCAAACGACACAATCTATCCAAACATTGTATTTATCAAACGATACAGTACGATATGATACATTATGAAACGATGCGCAACAACCATCGAAACAAGCTGTTCGTCGGCTGCTTTAAAAGAACATTAAATTTTAAAAGCTATACTGATACTGGTGTTTCTATTTTAAAAAATCAACCGATATCATAATAATTTCTTTGATTAAAAAGAAAGAAGACGTAATAGTTAATTTGGCTTAAAATATCTTTAGTCCGAAATTATGGGTGGCCAATACCGCTTCTGGACAAGTTGGTGCTTTGATTATTAAGGATTTTCTTAGAGAAGAAAAATGGGGTGAGGAATTGGAGGCTGAATTTTCCAGATGGTCATCTTAATTGTTTATCTTTGACCTATTGGTAAATAAAAATTATGAAATTGAAAAATAACATATTATTAAGAGTGTGTGGTAGCTCACTGATTACTTTTTTTTCTTCCCCATGGCACATTTTCAAAAGCCATTTTTCCACTACAAGGACATCTACAGAAGCTGTTTAATGAACATGGGTCTATTATTCTCAGATTTATTCTGTTTTTTTGTGTGACCCGATATTTACATATTAAATAGGGCTAACTGGGCAGATCTCAGAGCTTGCAAAGTTAAAATATGGCATTTTCTGTATCAGTAAGAAATATTAAGCTTCCTCTATAAATATTCTTTTCTTCATCTCCTAGATAATTAAGCAAGTGAAAATAATCAATAAGATTCAAGAATTCGATAGCGTTTCCTAATGTAGATACAGTTGTCACACAAGTTTGAAAAGTTAACTCCAAAATTCAAGGTTCGGAACTTACCACTTTAAGTTTTTCATTTTTGACACTTCTCTTCAAGAAGACATAATTTTCCTGAAGAGTTAAAAAATAAAAAATATCTTTAATCTGTGCAAGTTCCTGCTACTTGCTACGCATTCTGAACATATTTCCAAATTGGTTCTAGTAGTTTTGGAGTATTTGGCTCTATCGCTGTCAAAGTTGCGGTGAAGTAATAAATACTAGTACTATATCTTTAACCAAAGGTATTTATTTTGAGTCTTGAGAATAGAGTTGCCTTTGGTAGAAATTCCTTTAATCCCATGCTGAAACTTCGAAAATGGATTTTGCACACTGAATGAGAAATTTTAAAAAAGGAGTATTTGGTTCTATTAAAGCATCATTTGTGCTGCCCTAAAGTTGTATACGGTAAAAATCATATCTCAGAAGACGACGGGTGAATTAGAAAGTAACGCGTGTCAATCACCAGTGATTCAACCATGTTCACACCGGAACAAACATGTGGTTGGATAAGATATTGACACCGGATACAAACTTGTAGCCGAATAAGAAGCAATTCAACATTGGTAGACCATACTCTCATAGCTCTAGTATAAATAGAGGCTTTTATTCTATTACATAGAAAAGAAATATTGATAGCAAAAGACTAGTATTCTCTGTCTCATTCTTTTAAGCTTTATACAAGTGTACTTGAGGTTTTCCAAGTATAATTGATTCCGGTGGGAAAATTATGAAGCTCAGACTTTTCTTTTCCTTATATATTCTTATTTTATTTGCTTCTGTTCTTCATTATTTTATTTTATCAGATCAATTTAATCCACGTATCTATAAATTACATTATAAATTTAACTATATTGTTTTTTCGGTAAACAAAAATTTCATGGAAGGGACATACAAGGAATAACGAACATGAGAAAGCGAGTAAAGATGGTTGGGACTTTAAAGAGAAAAAGAAGCTTCGTTGCTTGTGTCAGAATATTTGTCAAAAAAGTATGGTGAACGGTGAACGGCGGCGGAAGATTTTAGATCAAATTTGAAGGTAAAAAATGATTTTCACTCTAAATTATGTCATGTAAAGAGAGAATTTGTACCCGAAAAAACAAAACACGAGAAACCATGTACCAAGAATTAGTGATGACTTTCAACAAAGAACTACATAAGAAAGCATTCAAATTGTACCCTTAAAATTCAATAAATATAAGAGAAAACATTCAACTTAATCTTGTACTCTTTTGTTTTTATACTATTTACTGTACCTTTTAAAGTTTCAAGAAAAAATGATAATTTTTATATTTAAAAATAATTTAATTTTAATTTTCTTATATAATTTTAATAACATAGTTTTATAATCATAGAAATATCACAACATATTTTAATACAAGCTCCAAAAGTCTATTTAAAATAAAACGAAAGGAGTACATATTTATTTGAAAATTTCGGGTTCTAAAACCGCAAATTATGTCATGCATGTAAATAGAAAGAAAAAAAAAACAGAAAATTTCAAAGGTGTAACCACGCACTCCACCCACTTTGCCATGACCCATAACTTATCCACTACGCCACTTCTCAATCTTCCGTTTAACTGCTATTTCCCTACAATTTTGTATTTCCTTTTTTCACTTTTTCCCTCATTTAATTTTGAGAAATTTTTTTAAAGCACTATCTTTTAGTGGTAATTAGCTATCTATAGATATCAATTGCTATATTACGGATTGTAGATATGTTTTCTGTTGTTATAAGATATATTAGATGTATTTAAGCTACTGTATTCATGAATACAATAGCAAAAATAGGTGTGAATCAGGGAAGTCCAGCTAATCAGTTGTTGTATTCGAGTGTATTCGACTGTATTCATGACGTGAAACATGGGATTACAGCTGGACAAATTATTGTATTCAACTGTATTCACGTCGTGAAACAAGGGATTACACTGTTTTTAAACGGAAAGTGAATCAATTAACATAATAGACTCCTAATATAACTCAACAAACTCAATTACAATAGTTATAAAAAGATTCTCAACCGAAAAATACATCAGAAACATAGCAATCTTCAGAGAAATTATATAATACATCTGAATACATAAATTATATTAATTAAAAAAAACATATGAATACATTCATGGCATATAGCGAGACAGTAAATACAATAAAATACATAGAATATAGCGGGATACATTGAAATACAATGGAAAAAAATAGTGAATACAATGAAATACATGGAAATTGAATTATAATGAAAAAATAGACAATGAATACAATGAAATACATGAAAATACAGTGTGATACATTGAAATATATTAATAGAAAATCAAGTTGCTCAGCCCCAATAGGTCCCTGAATCCGATCCAATAAATTACCAATTGCCGCCTCAGAACCAATCCGATCAAATCAGAAACAATTTGGTCAAGGTATATTTGAAAGTAAGAGGCATTATCTAATCATGTTGTTGTGAGGTCTGCTGAAATCGATATTAAGGTATTGGGTAAATTCTATTTCATCCAATGTTTGGTGGCCAAAAGAGGACCGAATCCGAGAAGACATTGGATGGTAAATACTTTGTAACAATTCAAGATAGGGATTGGTACTGGAGAGCTTATCTACCAGAAGGGGAAGATAGGGATCATCCTGCTTGTAATATATTTGGCCCGAGGGGTAGAAGCCTCGAAGGACTTAACTTTACAAAGAGTTTAGTCGTTGAACCATCAACGTTGTTTGTTTTTCTGATTTTAGAAGCAGAAAATGGTGGTGTGGCGGTGAGCATAATTGCGTCGGCGGGGAGGAGAAGAGAATAAAGAGAGAGGAAAGAGCGTGGGGAAGAGAATGACATATATCAAAGTAGAGAGAAAAAGAAAATAATTTAACTGAATAGCGTATTTAGTGGCTTAGATGTAGGATGTAACCAAAATTAGATATATTGCTATAAACATTAAAAGGTATCTATAGAATATAATTTTTAAAATAATATTTATTTAAAATAAATAAGTTGTTTTTTTTTGCAGTTGTTAACCTTTGCTATAGGAGGTAAAAATCTCTTTAATTTTTTCCTTCAATAATCATCAAGGTGGGGGTGTGTGCACAAATAGCCACTTAGAGCACCTATTTTATTTTAAAGCCAGTGTTTTAAATGTCTTTAGTCTTTAGCCATTGGTTTAATAAACTTATACCTGACTGGACGAAAATACCCTTCTGCTATAACTTATACCTACGCTTTTATTAACGATCAGCAGCAGCAGCAGCGCACGTAACTAACTTCACTGTGATCGTCGAATTTCAAAGTATAGAATTACAGAAGCTTCCCTTCCGATTTCAAACTATAGAATTCAACTTTCTCATCCAAAAATCGACATAAATTTACAGTAAGTTATATTTTTGTGTGTTTCCATTGATTTTTATTTCGTTACTAGTAATTTGATGCTAGAAATTTGAATTTTTTTTTGAATTTATGGATTGATAAGGTTAAGGACATCGCGTCCTGTGATAATTCTATAAAAATTGAGCACATAATATTAAGGACATAGTGTCCTGATTTTTGCAAATTGAATTGAAAATGTTAAGGACACAATGTCCTTAACTTATTTGATGTTCTTTTGTATATTAAAGACATACTGTCATAGTTTTGCAAATTGT